CTTGAAGGCAAACTATATCTCCCAGCTCCCAAATATTTTTAGTACGAGCAACACACAGAGAGCCCAGGCCATGCTGTTTGTTGAAGCCTTCCTCACAGGTGGAGCATGGTAACACAGCAGAGCAGTCTCTTTCCAGGGCGGACTTTTCACAAAATATTAGCCACAAGCCACACAGACAGGCTGGGCCAAGCCAAGGTCAGTCCTCAGAGACTGTAGATTAGCCCAAGGCTCAGACGCGTTGAGTCAAGCTCTAAGTAACTGTCAAGTTATATGCAATATTCTCACAGGAGCTCAGTGTTTGAGCGACTGACTATTCCTTTTTTTGAAAGACGAGAAAACTGGAACAGAATAGCACACAAAGTGAGTGAGAAAAACAGAATATTATAAAGTTTTTTTTTAAAAAAAAATGGAAAGGTGGTATTTGAAAGATGTGACAAAAATAATTCGTACCTAAAAAAGGATACATTTTAATTAAGAACAGACGTTGCCAGTATAAAAAGAGTTCGTGTTTATTAAGCTGTAGAGACACATATGGGTCACGTGTGAATGCGATAAAACAGCATCGTGGTGGTGTGAATAACTGTGGTGGTTGAATGACCCCATAGGCTCATGTTTGAATGCTCAGTCTCCAGCGAGTGGAACGCTTTGCTTGCTTAGAAGGATTAGGAGGTGTGGTCTTGCTGGGGAAAGTATTGCCAGGCCCAGTCTCTCTCCCTGCTGCTTGTGGACGGGGATGTGGGACTCTCCACAACTGCCTGCCATGATGCTAACGGGCTAAACCTCTGTAAACACGCCCCAATTAAGTGTTTTCTTTCCTAAGAACTGACTTCTCATAAAGTCTCTTCATAGCAGTAGAATAGTGACTGAGACAGGCAGGACACTTACCAGGTGTCTGGAAAATAAAATGATATGCCTGCTCTACTTTTCATCCTTCTGCTGTGTTAATCTCTAACCAAAAAAAAAGCAATTGGGGGTGGGGGAGTTTGTTTCTTTCGCCTTACATTTCCACACCACTGTCATGGTCTCTCACCACCTGCAGCTGCCTGCAACCGGCACCAGAGGGAGCTAATGAGCAGTAACCATGGCGGAGGGTGGGAGGGAGGAGGGAGGCTCACTGGTCCCTGCCCCTTCCTTCCTGCTAAGTTACCAGCTACTAATGAATTCTGGGAGATGGAAAGATACCGCCTTTAGTCACACAGCCACTGATGAGCCCATCCGGCTCCAAGAAATAATTCGAAACTCGTGGCCATGAAAAGGGCCACGCTTAAATTCAGCAAGTCACAAAATTAAAAAAGAAAAAAAAAAAAACGTAAATGTGGAAAAAGGAATTGTAGGGGTGGGAAGTAAAAGAGCTGGGAGGACTCAAAAAATAATAACGGCAGGAGACAGCCCACACAAAACAAACGCAGCCGCATTTCTGTAAATTTAGCCCACATAAAACAAACGCAGCCGCATTTCTGTAAATCTCATACTTCTTTGTTTAGGGTTTTTATCCTTACTGCTCTTTTATTTGTGTGCTATAGTTTCTGAATTTGTGCTTTTGTGGTTTTGTGTGGGTGAGTGAATGTGCTGGGGTGGGTGTGTTTCTTGTGCTTTTCCTTTTTTTTTTTTTTTTTTTTTTTTTCTGGTTTGTTTTTATTTGCCTGTTTGTTTCTAGAGAGAGAGAGAAGGAAAGGAGGGTATGGGAGGATTTGAGGAAGAGAAAATGGTGACCAGAATATATTTTCAGATTAGAATGCAGTTTCAATTTTTAAAAAAGAAGTTTTTAAAAGCCCAGGTTTTGTGACAGAAGAAGGTTCTATAATTTTCATCAATCACTTTTCAGAATGGTAAGCCTACCTGCCCCAGCGACCGGTTTGGAAAGCCTGCACCGAGGGCAGTGCCAGCCACGGCAGTGTGGTGTGCGCCCTCCAAATGAATGACCACGCATACGGAACAAAGAAATCATATTCTCTTTGTGGAAAAGGTGTTAACAACGCTACAAAGCCTCAAACTGTAGGAAAATGTCTGAGGGCAGTTCTTAACTCTTACTGTACAACTGATATTGGGCATTCACTTATCAAGTAATAGAATTTCATGAGAGCTACTGACACAGGAAGCCATAGAAACATGAGAGTTGGGGAACAGATATCCTATGTTCAAACGTAAAGCATTCTCTTGTTCTGATAGGGAGACGTAAAACTGTAAAACACTGCCTTGACCAGTATTTAACCAAATGCCACTGAGTAACCAAATGAACTCAATCATTTCATAAAGAAATTACAAAGACTGGTGACCACTGACTGTTCTGAACTATGAAGAATGTTCAACGACACAAGTTCCCCTGGTGTCATTTATTAGATACAAAATGTTTAATTGTAGAACATATACTGATATTTTTTAAGTGCTTTTGATACATCTATTTTCTTCCTCGAGAACCAAGTCTTTAAAAGCATCCACTGATTAAAAAAAAAAATCTTCTTGTCCACTGCAAAAAGGAAATGCAAAAATATTACTAAGTATTTCATGGCTGAATTCAAGAGCATCATGGTGTCAATGAAGAAAAAGCTGTCCACTGCCTCTACATCCTGTGTGAATATACCAAGAACCTGTGCCTTCCCTCTATAATTATTCATTTAAAAATAAAACAGTGATGCTCAGTCATCTGTAGACCTGCATCTTCAATCCATAGCATTGCCTAATAGCTGGTGCAATGGGATTCAGAAATCCCTGGAGAATTTATCCCATGACAAGTAGCTATGTTGTGACACCAATAGTAATAAGACTACTGCTTCTTTTACAAGTACCTATGCTTGTGAAAGTTAACAAAAAACAAAACAGAATTTGGAATTTGGGGATATCGTACTTTTCCTTTTACATTAAATCCATGCCCAAATGGGCAATGGTCAGAGAATAGGCATGGGCAGGTGGACATCTCACTACAGCCTTGCCCAAGGTTCACCCAGATTCTGGATCAACATAAAACTTCCTAGAAAAATGAGAGCATCTAAAATGTAAGAAAACATTGACAATGAACAAACTAACCTGATGAATTATCAGTATCTGGGGAAAATAGACTTCAAAGGAGGGAGGAAATGACCAATTTTAAGGAGGTCCCAGCTCAGGGTGTCTAAGAGTCATCCTCTGAGGAAAGGTTCCCCGCTTGAAGACACTGTGTCTGGACTCACTGACACGGAGATCAGGCATGCCAAGCTGCACAAGACAACATGGGAATAAAAGCCTATGGTCTGTAGAAGACTTTGTTCATGGCAGATTAAAATAACATATATTGAGTTGCTATAGGAGAAGAAGACTAATTAGAAATGTGAATACCAATATGGGTGTACGCAATCTCTAAACTTTATCAGTATTACAAGCACTGGAGAAATATAACTGTGTATAAAATAATAAAGACCTGCTTAGAACTGACACCTACGACAAAAATAATCTTGAAAAATGAGAAAAGGTGAATGCTTCGAGCAGTTTTCCTGCCAGCCTGGTCCCAGCGCCACATTCGTCCCAAATAACACACAGAGATGCTGTATTAGATTTGAAGCTGTTGGCCTGCTACTAGTGTTTCTTATCGGCTAGCTCTGTCTTAAATATTAACCCATTTTTATTCACCTAAGTGTTTCAACATGGTCTTGTCTTACCGGAGAGAGGGTCCGGACCTCTTCTCTCTAGTCTTTACATCTTGAATCTCCTCTCTACTACATCTCCCAGAATCCTCCTTGTCTCCTAGTCCTGTCTATCTTGCCTTCTTATTTGCCAGCAGTGCTTTATTCATTAACCAATAAGAGAAACATATCTACAGAATGACATCTCCCATCAGGTGAAGCATACGGACTCAAAAATGATAGGACCCAATTTGTTAACTGAAGCATGGTGTACTGAGAAGGATTTTAAAACAGGGGAGATGTGGGGAGGCTCATGGAGGAACTGAGGGACAGAAACCATAATCAGAATATATTGCATGGAAGAAAAATAGGAGGAAAAAAAAAAAACACTATCAGCCAGGTTTGAAGAGGGAAATCTTAAAGTGTGCCAGTGAAATCTCTCTATCCCAAATCACGTTAAGCATAGCTCATGCTGCACCCGTAAATTATGGTTCTGAGGAAAGATACATAACTATGAGGTGGCTCTCTAGGCTCAGTCATAAGAGGGCAGTGTCACACCAACAACAGACTGAACAGTTATGCCCGCTGGCGACTCTCATTAGACCTGTGAGGGTCAGTCAGCCTGAAAGGACTTCTCAAATCAGGTTCCCTCTTACAAGGACACACCAGTGCTTCTGTTAGTCTCGGGAATCGAAGCGCTAAGATTATTTTTAGATTTGGCATTCAAGGCAGGCATGGAGTCAGGGGTGAAAAGTGAACCACACTGAGATGTACAATGAGTAGAAGTTGAATGTACGGACACAAGCCTGAACTCCAGGATGGGAAAGCCAAGACAGGAAGATGGCCAATTTCTGGCTAACTGAAACCCTGTAGCAAAATGTAATAGTAATAGTAATTGTTGCTATTGTTGTTGTTGATGATGACTATGAGGACAGAGTGATTAAAGAGAGAGAGGGAGAGGGGGAGAGAAAGAGCAGCTACTTACAATAACAGAGAAGAAAACTCCTCAGGGAGGAACAGAGTGAACAGAGCAGAGCAGCCCATTCCACAGTCGCCTCCGCCATCTTAACTTTGCAGGTTGCATCACCGAAACAAGAAACCTACTGAGCTTATTTTACATATCATCTGTCTTACAATTATTGACTTTTATTTTTAAAAGTCCATTTTACAGAGCACTGTCCCCAGGAAGTCTTGCTGAACTGAAAGCTATTTTCCACATTTACATGTAAGCATTTTGTGAAAAGTTGTTGCTACACATAGAAGGCAAGGAAGGACACTTAGGAAGTACTAGCCATGGAAAGTACATTACTTACAGTTAACAGAGATCTTGGAGGAGAAATATTTCAGAAGACTTAAAATGCTCGTCCCCTCTAATTCTGACTGCTTTTCTGACTTGTCCAGGGGTAAAGTCTCCTTCTGCGAACTTGTACAGTCACAGAACCCAATCAAAGCCGTTTTCCTCAGATAAGAGGTAGCTGCGTACAAACACACTTCTGAAATAATTGTTGTATATGAGAAGATGACATCAGAGGCCCAGGGAAGTTCATGTGCCTGATAGTTCTCTTCCTGAAACGAAATCCCGAAAGGATGCACTAGAAAAACCAAGTACAGTCCATCAGACCTAGAAACCATATGTGTAGTAGGATGATAACAAAATATATATATATTCAAAGTTTATGCAGTTGTAATAAAACCAATTAAAATTTGTAAAATGTATTCATTAAAACTTACTTTGGGATGGGTATGTTTTATTAAAAAGTAGCTCACAAATTTAAGTAACTAAAAATATGTTAAGCAACAAACATTCAATTTCTTTAGTAATCAATGGAAGATAAATTAATCCGTTGAGGGTGAGCCTGATATATTGCTCAAGTGGTTGTCCGATGGATAGCCTTATACACATCCACATACTGGCAGCATTGAGTGTTCTCAGAGGGCTAAAAAGAAAACTATATTAAATTGGGAGGAGAAAGTGGTATGGAAGTAGGAGATGGATTTGGTAAAAATGGACTATTTATGTGCATGAAGTTCCCAAAAAATACATTAAAAGATATAATACTCTCAACATAATGTTGGAAAGCATCTTTTCTAGTGTGTGTAACTTTCATATTCATAGAAATACAAAAATATTACAACTTGTTGAACAAAATTTAAAAATGTGTCCCAAGAAACTGTGTAGGGAGTAAGGCTTTTCCTCCCACCGCTGGTCTGGTCCCACCGCCGCGCCAGCCCCAATTAACACACTGAGACTCTGTATTTGCTATAATGCTGTTGGCCAGGTACTAGTTCTTATCAGCTAGCTCTGTCTTAATTATTAACCCATTTCTGTTAATCTACTATTTCCATGTGCTCTAACCGGAGAGCCGGCTGGCATCCAGCTCTCTCCAGACTCTCCATCTTGACTCCTCCTTACTACTTCCTCTTTCCTCCTTGTCTCCTAGTCCCCCCTGTCTTCCTTTCCTATTGGCCAACAGTGCTTTATTCATTAACCAGTATGAGAAACATATTTACAGAATCATGTCTCCCATCAAAACTGTTCATAGCAACAGACTCATAGGAAAGTTTATAGGAAAGGAAATGAGGCCACTGGAGGTGAGGTAACTCGGTGTGAACCTGAGGACCTGAGTTCAGATCCCCAGCACCCACATGCCTGGAAACTTAGTGTTGCAATTTGAGGGCTGAAATCAATAAAGTAGAAACCAGGAAAACAATACAAAAAAAAAAAATCAATGCAACAAAGAGATGGTTTTTCGAGAAAATCAACAAGATAGACGAACCTTTATCCAAATTAACCAAAAACCAGAGAGAGAACATGCAAATCAGCAAAATCAGAAACGAAAAGGGGGACATAACAACGGACACAGAGGAAATCCAGACAATTTTCAGGTCATACTTTGAAAACCTATACTCCCCAAAATTTGAAAATTCCAAGGAAATGAACAAATTTCTGGATAACTACCACTTACCAAAATTAAGTCAAGAACAGATAAACAACTTAAATAGACCTATAACCCCTAATGAACTAGAAGCAGTCATCAAAAGCCTCCCAACCAAAAAAAGCCCAGGGCCAGATGGCTTCAGTGCAGAATTCTACCAGAAATTCAAGGAAGAGCTAATACCAATACTCCTCAAATTATTCCACACAATAGAAACAGAAGGTTCATTACCAAACTCTTTCTACCAGGCCAGAATCACCTTGGTATCCAAGCCACACAGAGACACAACTAAGAAAGAAAACTACAGACCAATATCACTCATGAACATTGATGCAAAAATACTGGCAATAAAACACTGGCAAACCAAATCCAAGAACACACCAGAGAAATCATCCTCCATGACCAAGTAAGCTTCATCCCTGGGTTGCAGGGATGGTTCAACATATGAAAATCTATCAACGTCATCCAACATATAAAGAGACCGAAAAAGAAAAACCACATGATCATCTCACTAGATACTGAAAAAGCCTTTGACAAAATTCAACACCCTTTCATGATAAAGGTCTTGGAGAGATCAGGGATAACTGGAACATACATAAACATAATAAAAGCAATATACAGCAAACCAAGAGCCAACATCAAACTAAATGGAGAGAAGCTTAAGGTGATTCCTCTAAAATCAGGAACAAGACAAGGTTGCCCTCTCTCTCCATATCTCTTCAATATTGTACTTGAAGTTCTAGCTAGAGCTATAAGACAACAAAAGGAGATCAAGGGCATCCAAAATGGAAAGGAAGAAGTCAAACTGTCTCTATTTGCAGATGATATGATAGTTTACGTAAGCGACCCAATAAACTCTACCAGGGAACTCCTACAGCTGATAAACACCTTCAGCAAACTAGCAGGACACAAGATTAACTAAAAAAAAATCAGTAGCCCTTCTTTCAGACGACAAAGAGACAGAGAAAGAAATCAGAGAAACATCACCCTTTACAATAGCCACAAACAACATAAAGTATCATGAGGTAACGCTTACCAAACAAGTGAAATACCTATATAGCAAGAACTTTGTGGCTCTAAAGAAAGCAATTAAAGAAGATACCAGAAAATGGAAAGATCTCCCATGCTCTTGGACAGGCAGGATAAACATAGTAAAAATGGCAATCTACAATTCAATGCAATCCCCATTAAAATCCCAGGACAATTCTTCACTGACCTTGAAAGGATAATAATCAACTTTATATGGAAAAACAAAAGACCCAGGATAACCAAAACAACCCTATACAATAAAGGAACTTCAGGAGGCATCACCATTGCCAACTTTAAGCTGTACTACAGAGAGCTGTAGTCCTGAAAACAGCCTGGTATTGTCACAAAAATAGACAGGTAGACCAATGCAATTGAATTGAAAACCCTGACATTAACCCACACACCTATGAACACCTGATTTTTGACAAAACAGCTAAAAGTATACAATGGGGGGGATGAAAGAATCTTCAACAAATGGTGCTGGCACAACTGGATGATGGTGTGTAGAAGACTGCAGGTAGATCCATGTCTATTCCCATGTACAAAACTCAAGTCCAAATGGATCAAAGGCCTCAATATAAATCCAGCCATACTGAACCTCTTACAAGAGAAAGTAGGAGGTACCCTTGGACAAATTGGTATAGGAGACTGCTTCCTGAACATAACTCCAGTAGCACAGACACTGAGGATCAACAATTAATAAATGGGACCTCCTCAAACTGAGAAACTTCTGTAAGGCAAAGGATAAGTTGACAAGACCACAGATTGGGAAAAGATCTTTACCAACCCCATATCTGATAGAGGGCTGATCTCCAAAATATACAAAGAAGTCAAGAAACTAGTCACAAAAACACCTAATAACCCTATTAAAAAGTGGGGTACAGAACAGAAGAGAGAATTCTCAATAGCGAAAATCAAAAAGGCTGAAAGACACTTAAGAAAGTGCTCAACATCCTTAGCTATCAGGGAAATGAAAATCAAAACAACTCTGAGATACCATCTTACACATGTCAGAATGGCTAAAATTAGAAACACCAAAGACAGTTTATTCTGGAGAGGATGTGGAGAAAGGGAAACACTCCTCCACTGCTGGTGGGAGTGCAAACTCGTACAGTCACTTTGGAAATCGGTATGGTGGTTCCTCAAGAAAATGGGAATCAGTCTACCTCAAGATCCAGCAATTACACTCTTAGGCATATACCCAAAGGATGCACATTCATGCAACAAGGTCATCTGTTCAACTATGTTCATAGCAGCATTATTTGTAATAGCCAGAACCTGAACGCAACCTAGATGCCCCTCAACTGAAGAATGGATGGAAAAAATGTGGTACATTTACACAATGGAGTACTACTCAGCGGAAAAAGCAATGGAATTTTGAAATTCACAGGCAAATAGATTGAACTAGAATAAACCGTCCTGAGTGAAGTAACCCAGTTACAAAAAGACAAACATGGTATATACTCATTCATATATTTTTTTATGCATAGAGCAAAAGATTACAAGCCTACAATCCCTTTGATGAGCAAAGGGGTCAAGACCAGTCTGGAGAAACACACAGAATCAGCTGACCTGAACAAGGGGGAGCTCAAAGTCTGAAAGCTGGGAAACCAGCTTAGGACAGACCCAGACCCCCTAAACATAGGTGTCAGTTAGGAAGACTGGGCAGTCTATGGGGTCTCTGGTAGTGGATCAGTATTTATCCCTAGTATACGAATGGACTTTGGGATCCTATCCCACACAGAGGGATACTCTCTCAGCCTAGACACACGGGGGAGGGCCTAGGCCCTGCTCCAAATGATACAACAGACTTTGAAGATCCCCATGGAAGGTCTCACCCTCCCTGGGGATAAGAAAGGGGATGGGATGGGGATTGGTGGAGGGAACAGGAGAGGATGGGAAGGTGAGGGAACTGGGATTGACATGTAAACCATGCTTGTTTCAAATTTAAAATTAAAAAATATCAAGAAAACAAATACACACACACACACACACACACATATACGTAGACATACACACATACACACACACACATATATATACACAGACATACACACACACACGTGCGTATAATTTATGTGATGAAAAGCATAAAGCATGCCTCCAGGCAGATCTTTTTCACATCTCAACTACAAGGTGTTACCTGGCTCTGAACAGAGAAGATGCTCAGAAGAAAATCTTTCACTAGATCCATCAGAGTCTTCAAGCAGGCCATGTTCAACTTAGCAGCCTCCCCCAGAACCAACAATGCCAGCGTTGAATCCAACCTGGATTGTGAACAAGTGACAAAGACTTTAATAAAAATAACAATAATCAATTTTAATGAAAAACCTTTGAAGCCAAAAGGAATGAAGGTTTGGGTTATCAAGTATATTTATTTTCTATAGTGAAAGATTCTGGCATGAATTTAAGATACTGGACTCAGGGTTGGCATAATAAGAACTATGCATCCTCCCCTCCCCATCTGCTCGTAGATCCTGCCTGATACAGCATCCGTGGGCTGTAACTCTGCAGGGAACCTGCAGGCCCTCACAAGGGCCTCTAGCTTCTTCCTTCAGTGGGGTTAATCTGAAGGATGTTTTCTTTCCAAGCTCACAGAACAAGGGGCAAACTAGGTAAACACTCCCTAAACCCCGTGACATGTAAGTCTCTAAATAAAATATATATTTCATTCAAAAACGAGTAAGGTCATAGGCTAGCTTTTTTTTAACGTTATGTAAGTGGGAATTTATAATGGAAGCTGTCAGCCTTCATGTTCATAGGGAATGAGGTTTTCAGAAGTCTTACATTTCACACCCTTGTTTCCAGTTCCCCTGACTGAAATGGAAACAGGCAGAAAGAGAGTTAAGAGGCAGCAAATCTAAAGCTGCCTGCCTATAGAGCTGCTTATTGCCTTGGCTTCAAGTGTTAAAAAATTTATATCCAGGACTTTAACAAGTATGCTTGAATTTCACTACTGTGCCATCTGTCTTTAAGGTTAGGGTCTGCTCTTCATTCTTTCCTTACGAAAACACTCAATGTTAAGTGAACTAAGCCAGGCTCAGCAAGTGTCCATATTTCCCTTATATGCAGAATCTAGATGTCCCCAAAAGACATGAAGATGGAAAGCACCGAACGGGTCCTCTGTGGGAAAGAGATGGGAGCCAGCAGGGTGGGGGTGAAGAGATTGAGGGAGAGCAATGTACTTCCTGTGCTCCTACGAAAAGTCAACAATGTTCTACATTAAGCTCTGCAATCGATTAATGCTAGTAAGATAGGTTATAAAAAGTCAAAAATGGAATGTCTTTTAGGAGACAATAACAGTTGTAAAAACCCGGGTAGAGTTTTTCAGACCTCGGGACTTTCTTAAAATGAAAAAAAAAAAAATCAAGAAATGATTTGGCAATATTAAGACAATTGCTATGTCCCTTCTATGATTTGCGGTCATTGATGACAATTTGATCGGTTTACCCTGTCCTCTGCAACACTACGCATGACTTTTCCTACCTTATGTGACCATCCTCACATCCACCCAGAAAAAAAGAAATAAAGATTTGGATGGCGCAGGCAGTTACCAGTTTACAGTGCAGTGATGACTTGGGAAACATCCTCTACTAGGACTCTGAGGATCTTGTTCTAGTCTCTAGGTTCAAGGCCAGCCTAGACTGAGCTAAACTAAGCTACCCGGGGCTCTGTCAAACGAAAAAAAAAAAAAAACAGAAGAAAAGAGAGGAAGAGGAAGAGGGGGAGGAAGGGGAAAAGAGAGAGAGAACTCATATGTGGAGGAAAAGTATGCATCTGACGAATTAATATCTAAAATAAATGAGGAACGCAAACAATTCAAGATCAAGCAAACAAATAACCCAACTTGAAAAGACAAAGGCTTGACACAACATTCTTCTTTGGCTTTTCTGGTTTTTTGTTTTGGTTTTGGATCTTTGGTTTGGTTTGATTTTATTTGATTTGGTGTTTTTGTTTGGTTTGGTTTGGGTTTTTGGCTTTTCAAGACAGAATTTCAAGACTATACATTCAGGGATCATTTCTGTAGTTTGTCAAGACAGAGTTTTTCTGTGTAGCCCTGGCTACTCTGGAACTCACTCTGCAGACCGGGCTGGCTTTGAAATCAGAGATCCACCTGCCTCTGCCTCCTAATCCTGGGATCAATGGTGTGGGCCACCATTGTCCAACAGATGAATGTATTTTAAAAGGGGTACATGTACCCATGGAATACACAGAAACACACACAGAACACTGAACTTCACAAATATAGATCATTATTACTGGTCAATGTATAAAAACCTACAGCCTTCCTTCCACTGAACCCAGCCTGCTCTTATGGGACAACTATGTCCCTTCTTAAATTAACACATGGACTAGAAGAAGCTAACCCTTCCTGAGATTCAATTTTCTTGTATATCTCTTTGAAAAGCACAGAGAAAATAGTATTGATACATTCCTTTCAAATACATAACAGATGACTTCATTGTTGGGAATCTAACAACATGAGAAGTAAGGAACTGTCTTAAACACGGGGATGAATTTCTTATCTGTAACATTTCATTTAATAGAGACAAACTACACAGAGCATCCAGCAAAACAAGACAACAGGGACTGCAACAACTCACTGATACAACCAATAAAAAATATGCACGCCGCCTTTGTCTTTGGAGCCGAAACTATAAAGTGGATTCATAGTCAACTGAGCCGTGATTAACATGTCAGAGCAAAGGTCTCTCTGAGTCACTCCGGATTTATGGAATTGCCCTTACCAGCATTTCGTTTGAAGCTGCTTCTTGTGGAAGAGGAGATGTTCAAGCACTTCGTTCAGCTGAGGACTATTGTTCTGCACACAAGACCAGGCGGCCACGCAGTGCCAGAGCAGGTGGTTGACTTCGTAGCCCCCCTCATTCGGCTGGAAACACCCCTGAAACGACAACATGGAGGCAGGCTGCCAAGGCACCCTTAACCCGCAAAGACTCGAAAATACATCTTAAATACAAAAATCAAAGTGAATATTCACTTACACTTCATGCTTTACTAAGTGAAGTCATTTACAAATATTTCTATTAGGTATGCGTGGCCGGCAGAAGCTTTTTATAATAAATATATGTATTCATTATGTAAGTTTATATTTTTTTCCACAAATCCATGTGCTGCGATTTCCAGATCCTCTGAAGGGCCACTATTGGATGCACAATTCCCAGACCCTGTGTGTCTCCCTTCTTCACAGCAGCTGATCAAAAGGCAACAGGGTAAATTTAAGCAAAGATCTAGTGACAAACCAGGCTCTGAGGTGTGGGTTCCTCTTCATTAACAACCAAATGCATGTCTTACAGAACACTGCCAATGCCTGTTAAGCAACTATGTTTAAAAGACAAATTCAGATACAAAGAAGCTTTAGGTTTTTTTTCTCTCCAGTGTTGCCTGCCAGGGTCATTAAATATCATTAAATAATTGCTCTGCTACTGTGATAATATAACACTCTCAGATTTATTTATTTATTTATTTATTTATTTATTTATTTTGGCCAAAGATAACGCCTTGTTCTATGTACTGAGATCAGAAGTAGTTCTAATCCAAAGAGCTCCATTGTCTTCAGTTACTATATAAAATAGGGTAGCCAAATTTAAAGATAGCCTTTGTGTTGTGTCTTCTTTAAAAGCTGGAGGCTCATATAAAATTTCAAATTAAAACTCTCGAGTTTCTGGCAAGCTGTTTAGTCGTGTTCTTTGGAAGTGTGTCTATCCTTTCTGTGTTGGGGGTAGTCAGATAGAGAGTAGAGAGAATGGTTAGAGTCAGGCTGTGCAGAAGCCTGCTGGCCATCAGAAAAGACACTGTAAGCAAAGCCACATTTGGAGTGTTACACTATCCCACGGAGAAGCTGTCTTCTGAGATAATGCAGGGCATTGGACTGAGACATGCTGACTTCGGCAAATGCACACATAACTCAATTTTCCGCTTTGTGGTGGAGCCCATTCAAAAAGTAAAGGCCACATAAATGAAATTGTCTCAACAGCCTCAGGTTTCTCAGCCGTGTGTCTGACAGTCCTCAGGTTTCAAGTCCACATAAATACAGACAGAGATCGGTTGTGAAACTTTGAGATGCCCTAGCCAATTAAATTAAAGCAATACTCTCCTAGATCACAGATACTATATGGCTACAAAGACTATTAAGTAAGCATGTATATTTATATCTATAGAAATATTATGTCATATATAAATATATAAATATGTTACGTGTGTGTGCATGCATGTGTGCGTGCATGCGTGTATGTGTGTGTGCTAACACATAATAAAGAAAACACTAGGAGGTACGCTGTGTGACCAAAGCCTGTGACCCCACAACAAGAGAGGCTGAATCAGGAGAAAGGCAAACTTGAGGCTACCTTTGGGAATTTAGGGAGATACCATCTCAAAAAAATAAATAAATAACGTAATACAAAGATAAAGTTTGGGATTATGAACAAGACCTATGGTTTATTTCAGTTTTGTAAGATGTCATTTTCACACACCACGGAGAATGAGAAAAAGCAGCCTCCGCTGTCTACACTCAGGGTTACTCACTGTCTACACGCTGTCACTTACTATGGGTGGGTCTGACACGGTCGGGTCATTTTGCTCTGCCTGATGTAAGCACAAACTACATGGCTTGGACAGTAAGTACTACAAGACCATGATTTCTAAAAAGCCATTTAACAATCTTCATTCTTAAGCACAGACAAAACCAAAACCACTGAATACCCAGTCGTAAAGTCGTCCCCGCTTTTGAACTGGAGAATCTAAGGAGGACCGCTGCTCCTCAGGCGCTCCTGGGTCTCAGGAGGTCTAAATGCACTCAGCTCTCTCATGCTGAAGCATTCCACAGCTCCCCCAGGAAGCCCGGGCTCCTTCCTCTCTCCCTCCACCAAGGAATAACCCATGCTGTCTCTGGCAGATGCATGCTCCTCCTCTTGACCTTTGGCTTAACAGGCCTTGGCATTATCAAAAGAAAAGACTTAATGTAATAACGTAATCACGTGGTTCAACCCAACACAGACCAGGAAAGAACAGCCCTGATACTAACCACATGCCACAAAGTCTGCTGCTGTCTTTACACTGACTGGGTCTAACATGGTTGGGAGACAAACGCTGCTCACAAGCCGTCCACAAGAGCACAGAGATTACCAAATGCTTAGAAGCATTTCGACACTCTGGCAGAATGATTATATACATGTTTGATCTAATAAAAACTAAGACGGACTTTTCTTTTCTTCTCATAATCACGCATTACTTCATTTTGAAACTGCCAGGCTGTGACGGCTTTGAGATGGAAAAGAGGTGTGGCTGGGAGGCAGCTCAGCCTGTGAAATGTCTGCTACATGAGAATGAGGACCTGAGTTCGGATCCCCAGCAGTCAACAAAGCTGGGAACAAAGGTTTTCATCAGTAACCTCAGTAATGGGAGGTAGACAGAGGCAAGAAGATGCCAGGTGCTATCCCCCGGCTCCCACACACACGGACACACCCCTGCATACACGCGAGCATGTATACAAACACATTCCCCAAAAAAAGAAAAAAAGCGAGTGTCCTACTCCATGACAATTTGGTAACTTCGGAGAATATTTCTCCATCCATTTCCGCTTGCCTGCCTACCTTCCTTTTTTCTTCTTTTTCTTTTCTTTTTTTTTTTTCTTCTTTTTCTTTTCTTTTACTACTTCCAGTGACTTCTCCTTCCCTCTTGATTGCTGCCCAGCTTCAGACTGCCGCCTGCAGCTTGCACACCGTGGCATTTATAGACTATAGAGCATTACCTTTGGGTGACCGATGGGGCCTTTACAACAGAGATGAGCTTGGAGGTGTGGGCTCTGCTGTGGCTGCTCAGATGAGACATTTTGTCCTGTTTTCGGTCATTTTAGGGGACGGTGACGTTGCCATGAAAAGACCTCTTAGTACAAATGTGTCAACCAAATGCTGTCATGCTTATGTGTGAGAGGAAAACCATTAATCACGTCGGAATATCAAACTGATGTATCTACTGCTTTTCAGGGAACTACTTATACTTTAGACAATACTATCGAATAAAGGGTCTGCTCCACTTTAACTAGGTTTAAAATCCAAAGAACTATGCTATTGTTACGATGCGACAGCTATGCTTAGAAAATTCAGCTCTGCCACTGAGCACGGGACAGAAAATCAGTCCTGCAGATGGGGCTCTGGGATTGCAAAGCTAATAAAAGTGTACTGCTTGCCGAAGTTGGTGGGAACTGTGTGTCTGGGTCACTTAAAAGGACGTTAAAAGAAGAATCTGTGACCAGTAGCAAGGAAAGGAAGTTTTCTATTCGTAGGTAAAACCAAAATCCATATTGTGTATCGAATAATATGCAAATTCTACAGGATTTTTAAAGCAGCTCTAGCTTTGGTCTTGCAACAGCCTGCACTCATTTCTATAGACATTACACATAAAGTATTTTACAGTGGCCAACACAGGCTGTGGATGGACCTTTCAGTATAATCGGAACATAAGAGATGATGGATAGATCGATAAATCCTGGGCTGTAATATAGCACCAATAAAGACAGGAGGAAAAATGGCCACTACTGCAGCTTTTACATTCTATTGCATCGTCTTCTTCCTCTTTCATTCCCCAAAGTAAGGAACAAAATGGGTATTGAATGGGCAGATGCTCAACTGAACTGGAGAGGCTGGCTGAGAAATACCACACTGGAGAAATTGGGTGGAAACTAGGGAACTTTAGGGTTGCAATCACACCATGAATCAGTGCTGATTAGACAAGCCACCGGTGATTTAGGAGCGCTGTGGTTCCACTATCCTTTATAGTCTGTATATTATGAAGTAATTGGAGAAGAAAAAGAAAGGCAATAAACCTGACAGCCCCAAATGTGTTATAGTCCCCTTAGAGAATCACACGGATAGAGCTGAAATAGAATTTAGGTCTTTTGTTCTACAAAGTGGAAATGGTACAGAAAGGCTGAGTGACTGCGCATGTCACTCCGGGCAGATGGATCCGTTCCTTGAAACTGTCGGCTCTGCCCCTGGTAGCAGCACACCTCCGTTGCTTCCAAGGGTGAACAGATTTGTTCTTCAAGAGCCCCAGCACGGAAACTTACAGTGGCCTCCCCTGAGCCAAAGCATCTGTGTAGCATGCAGATAGCGCAGACCAGATTTAAGAGATACAACACTCAGATCGCTGCGTTCCTTCCTTCCGTGTAGCCACAGTCTCGGCTGGAAGCCATTGCGAACTGCCTAGGCTAGAGCGAATCCTTCAACACATTTTCAGTGGCCGATGTCTGTGTTTTATGTCTCTTCATTCACAAAGTACAATTTTATCTGTTCCGTTAAGGCAGCAGCTCTGATAGAAATAATGGTGGTGATGACGATCCTGATCATGAACACAGCTTTTTTTTTTTTCCAATGAGCAAATGGTGGTCTAGAAAAGCTAAACAGACATCTACATCACACAGGCAGCGGTCAAGCATGTCATAACTCTTCAGGATCAATGCTCTTTATGCAGCTTGATATCTTATTGTACGTATGTCATCAAAACATGTTTTAAACTTTGAGACAAGTGCCTCTTTTTGCGTGACATTCCTAATTATAACCAACTGGTTCAAATTACTTAGCAAACCTCTCTCCTTATATAGATGGTTTATCACCAATGAGCCAAGAGACAAATAAAGACTTAAAAATTGCAAATGTACACGATAAGATGCATTTTCTCACCTGTTAAATTTAGTTAAGGTTTGAAAGGCACTAAAGGGCCTGTGGAAAGACTATAAGGTCCCACATAAAGCTATTTTTTAAAGGAATTTTCACAAGTGTCTTTATCATTAGAACTTACATTAGGTTAAAAGTATTTTCCAGGCCAGGGAGATGATTCAGTGGATGAAGGGTTTGCTGCACCAGTGTGAGAACCAGAGTGTGAATTCACACCCACACATAAAATCTGGGCTGCCCCGACATCCATCCCACCTGTGGGACTGGAGACGGGCTCTCAGAGCAAGCTGGTTAGCTAGTCTAGCAGGTTCTGGGAAACGCTGCGTAAGCCAAGAGAATCCAGAGCAACCAAAGAAGGTTCCAGCATCTCCTTCTGGTCTCCCCACCCACATAAACACACAAGCGCTCACATTGCACATATGCATTCCCACACACATGCAAACATGAATAAATGTATTCATGCACCCCACACACACGAGCAACAGACAAGAATATTTTTCCTCTTTGGGAAGGTAAGAAGAATACATTTTCCATTTATAAGCTATACAGTTGAAATAATGAAAAAAACTTTTTCAAAAAATATTTGAGTAAAGGAAATAAAGAGATTATTGCCAAAGAGAACGAAGTGTGTCCTTGGAAAAGTATGTCTTATACACAGTTACATGGCTCATTGAACTTGTATTTGCATAATTACTACTTATTGTGTAAAGTGATTATTAAAAACGTAAGTACAACATTTAACTTTTGTACTAGGCTTATTTTAATCTCTCAATGTGAACTTTTTTGATGTGGGGAGAATCTCACTGTGTAGCATTGGCTAGCCTTAAACTGACGGGACAAGGCTGGCTTTGAACTCACAGAGATCGAGATCTGCCTGCTTCTGCTTTCCTTGTGATTAAAGGCATGCGCCACCAGGCCTGGACAATTTGAGAACTTTGGGAAGGTTTCGGTTGACAGTAATGGCATATTAAATGTTATTTCACATAAAACAGGAAGAACATGGCGGTCGTATCACTGCCACGAATGATTCTTCCCATCAGCCAGGTCCGCATCAGCCCCAAATGAACACGCAGACGCTATATTGATTATAAAGTTGTTGACCGATGACTAGGACTTCTTATTGACTAGCTCTGTCTTAATTATTAACCCATTTCTATCGACCTATGTATTGCCACGAGGCTGTGGCTTACCAGGTAATGCCTCGCGTGGTGTTACTCCTCCAGCAGCATCCTGACTCTTCTGGCGGGCTCTCTTGCCTACCTTTCCCAGACTCCTCCTCCTCTCCTAGTCCCGCCTATCCTGCTGCCTCATTGGCCATTGGCCAAACATTGGTCTTATTCATCAACCAATGAGAGAAACATATTCAGACTAACATCTCCCATCATATCACATGAGTTTCATGGCCAGTCTATACTTTATGTCCCTCCCCTTAATGAACTACAACATGCTAAAATGTTAACTTAGGAACCTAAGCTATGCTATTATTTGTCACTAAGTGGCAGGGGAGTCATATCATTGTGCCTCTAAGATCAACAGATCACGTTGAGCGTCCATTCCTCATTTACCAATCTATGATCCAAGATTTGTGCATAAGCGAGAGTATACGCTGGTCACCCTCCTCTTCCTGCCCCCTCTCCTTCCCGCCTCCACCCCACCCCCACCCCACTGAGCTCAGCTTCAAAAGTGCATGCATGCTGGATTGACAAGAACGAGCATATAATCATAGCGATTTTATCTTACAGCTACGCGGTAAGGCATACCCACTGCATCTGGTTACCTACCAAATCAGAATATACGCTCTCTGTGCTGCCTGTATTTCCCACGAATGATTCAGAATGGAGTTCCCTTTTACATATAATCTCCGACGTTTTCAGAATGAACTGCACGTTTGAGAAGATGTTTGGGTACTTGTGGTAGGACACTTCAGAGAAATAAAGTGCTGTTGGGAGGGAAATCATCGGTGAGAAGCATTTTTACTGGCACCTAGCATTGTGTCCCATTTGTCTCTTAGTTACTAAGGCATAATTATATTCAGTACCTTGATGCCCTAACTAGTTAAAATTTATAATGCTATGTGTGTCCTCTGGTGGCGAGGAAGAAAACTACACCATAAGTGAATCACATTAGAGTTTTTATAACTCAGGGCAGCTTTGTGTGATGGTTGGACATACAATTAAATAATGTGTTCTCCCTCTCTCGGCAGCCTTTAACGACGGGTATCTCCTCACTTAGGGGTGGGGCTTTGTGAGATCCCCCCCCAGTGACAGGCTGAAACACAAATGCACAGGAGTAATATGAAATGGATCCAGCATGCTCTGTTGATAGATACATGGGTTCATGGATACAGTTAAAGATGACGCCATGAATTTAGAACGGAGGGGGGGAGAGGGGTGAGGATGATGTAAGCGCAGTATTTAACTATGAAATTCTTAAAGATTTAATTAAAACGTGTATATGGTTTGACAAATTGTGTATATAATTATTAATTATAAATGTGGTATGTGCCAATACACATATGTGGTTACTATTCGGTTTTCTCCAGGGGTGAGCTCCACAATAGATTATCCAGTCTCAAGTGGTCAGCACTACACACATTTACATATGGACAACATTAAAAGGATTCAGAGGGGTTTTGCATGGGTTGTGACTCCCCAGGAAACCCTCGGGTGTTCTTAGCTAGACCCTCTAGATCCCACTCTTCCCTTTTTAGTAATTGGCAAGTTGCTGTCACTTCTTTCCAGATCTTGGCCATGTTAGACGGTACAGAAGTTATCAACGTCCTCCTGATCCCTCACTTTCCCACACAGCAACCTAGAACCAGTTAACTGAAGTCAGCTGCCTTGCCCTATGACATTCCAGTAGCACTCATTTGCATTTTCAATACCCATCCCTCCGCAATCCCGACTTTGGAGTGTATAAGCAGGTGCATACCATGACTGAATTGCAGGGCAAATGACATTTCTTCCTTGCAGTGCCAATCAGAACAGTTTAAAGGGCCCTAGTCTGCTTTATGTAGAGCTACAATATCCTGCTTCACAACCAGACTGACTCGAACCAGAATCCTCTCTCTCCCTATTCCATTCCAGCATCTACCGTGCCGGCAGACCTCCTTTAGAGTGTGGGATTCATTGCTTTAGTTACGGTTACAAGTAGGAAGACTGAGTGTCAGTCATCACCGTCCACAGGAGGCTGGAGGAGGGTCAGGAGAAGAACAGAAAAAGCCAGGTGATGGTCAAAGAAGACCGGGTTTCAGTGACGGTGAGACCCTGGACATCTACGGCACAGGTGGTGACCACAGTTCATAAGAACGCAGATCACATTCGGGTTGCAAAGATGCTGTCCTTTTAAACGTTCTCACCACGAGAATTTCTAAGTTTCTGAGGGAAAACATTAAATACTGAAGGAAGGCTTCCGGGCCCAGGAGCCATCGTTGCACGTATTACTGCTCATGAAACATAAAGCAGCTTATGCTCTTTATAGTGACAGTCATCTTCAAATGTTGCATGAAACATTTATAAGCATAAAGATAAAAAAATATCCTACCGTATAAATATGGTTGCAGCCTGAGTAAATGTTGTTTAAAACTTTCTAAGTGACCATGCAGGAAAAATACAAAAAGTCGTAAGAAGATCAAATAGCCAATCTGTCAAGAGAGAAGAGAGAAAAGCATTTTTGTGTTGCACCAATAAATGCTTAAAAACCACAGAGAAAGATAAACCGCTTTATTATTACATTTACTCTTTGATAAAACAATTTCAAACTCCATTGGTATTATGTGTTTTTGAAATAACTTTAAAGCGTTTTATGTCAAGATTGAAATGCTAGGTTCAACCAAAAGAAGAGCTGAAATAAATCCTGTGCACCCATTTCCAAACGGCCCTCCCTGAATGCCGAGCAAACTTGAGATCATAGCCCCTAAATAACTCATGAAATGAACTGATGGCGTTTTTACATAAAAATAAAATACCATGCTGTAACTTCACAATTCCCTTTGTTTCGGTATATTGGAGTCTGTATATTATGTATGTGTAGATCACAGTGTGTTACACATTTCTTTCTATGGCTTTTAACCGAAACAGTTTGAAACACAGACTTGGGGAATGACGGAAAATATTCTGCTCTTCACAGCATTCTGTACTGAGCCCCCACCCCCATTTAAAAAAAAAAAAAAACTTTATCATGTCATGTCACATGATAAACTCTGCAAACTCTCACTGCTATGACCAAATATATATATATATATACACACACATATATATATATATTTAGAGAGAGAGAGCAGTTTGATGCAAGTTCCAGAAAGTGGAATGTCTGCAGACACATATAACACATGGTATTTCATACAATAATATGAAAAATATAAATTCTAAAAGCAAATAGACTGCATTCTGTGTAATTTCTAAACCACGGAGCCCCATAAAAGAACAGGAACAATTACCATCAAGTTTGCATGTGAGAGAAACCAAATGCTTTAACAGTGATGCCAAATATTAACTGAGATCTACGCTAAAATACAACAAAGTATGAGAGTTGGGACAAAGTCCCAAATGTTCACCCAGCATACTAAGGAAATTGGAAAAATAAAAGCTAGTGCAGGGATGTGAAGGCTGGATTCCCTCTCTGCAAATCCGCTTCGCTTTCAAGCAACCACCGAATCCCAGCGAGCGCTTTTATTTGTACCAGAAATATGATTAAAGTCAATTTGATGAAGAGTGATTGGTGTTTAGGAATTTTTCTAAAACTTACAAACACCAACCTTTCAGATGCACATATGGAAATAAAGTGTTTGCCATGCATGTACAAGCGGTCTCTGTGTAGTAAGAGAACAGGAAGTGAGAATCTACAGCAGTACCATATACCATAACCCAACGATGCTCTACCAGCCACAAGTTCCCACAATCAAAGATGAAGGCTGATAAGCTAGTCGGGAGGGAGAATTGCTTAGGATTTTACAAAGGTTTGGTGACTGAACTTGAAGAAACCATCCTGAATGAGTTAACCCAGTCACAGAAAGAGGAACATGGTATGTACTCACTCATATTTGGATTTTAGACATAGAGCAAAGGATCACCAGCCTATAATTCACACCGCCAGAGAAACTAGGAAACAAGGAGGAGTCTAAGAGATTCATATAAGGTCCCTCACAGAAGGGGAAAGGGACAAGATCTCCTGAGCACATTGGGAGGAGGCAGTGAGTGGAGAGGGGGTTAGGAGAAAGAGAAGGGGAGGAGAGGAAAGCACGTGGGACCAGGAAGATTGAGTCAGGGAATGAATAGACAAGAGAAAACGAGAGAGATACCATAAAAGATGGAGCCATTATAGGTTTGAAGAGAAAACTGACTCTAGAGAAGTGTCCAGAGACCTACAAGACTGACCCCAACTAACAATTTGAGCAACAGTGGGAAGGATACCATAAATGCCCTTCCCTTTCTAAAATTAAAAACATACCTTCAGCAACTTTATTTCAACCGAATATAAAAATCTCTTCATGAATGCATCACAGCAGAGCCGATATAAAACTGATTCCGCGAGAAAGAACAGGGCAGGGAGCTGGTTGTAGTCGAAAGAAACTTGGTCCAAGGAGGCGTGGAGCATATTCAAAGCTTCTGAAAGGTGAAATTGTGTCACTGAAACACTAACTTCGCCTTTCTGCTTATTATACTCACATCTTGCAATTCACTGTTTGTCCTTCAGATTCTGAGGCTCTGCTGTACCCAAAAATGCTTTCCACCCAGTGAGAGGTACCCCAAACCTCAGCAGACTGTTTCAATCAATACAACCCAGAAGACTTGACAGTAGGTGATTTCCAAGGCCAAATCCCCAAAAGAAACTCAGCCTCTGCCTAACCCTCCAACCCTCGACACTCCCTGACCTCCCTCTTCCCCTCTCTGCCTTTCCCCCTCTCCCAGACAGCAGTGAGACCACCAGACCTTCCTCCCACAAAATCCGTTAAGCATCCACTAAAGGCGGCAGTGTCTCGATGCCAAGCCATAAAAACAAGTTAAGGCAGCTCTCAGGCAGCATCACAGATCCCAGTATACGTGGGAAATATCCTCCGCCGACCTTAGCAGTTAACATACCCAAACTCATTTTACAAGGCATACGCATAACATTTAGTTTAACGAGAGAAGGACTCTCATCCCCTTAAAAATAGTGTTAATTTCCTTTTTAGATTGGGTAGAGGTCGCTTGAAAGAAGCCATATAATTGGGAAGTAATAAGTAAAAGGGGAATGAGCTTCCTGTCTTAAAGCAGAAAGAAAGAAAGAAATCAAGCCAAGGGCCATTTGATTAATGTTCTATATAAGTAAGACTATAAGGTGTAAAAACACTTTTATCTAGGTGCCTGCTGTAGGCGGGCTCACTTAATGACAGTATACAGTGACTTTCAAATTAATTACCAGTTCTGGGGAAAGATATACAGACTATACTGAGAAAAAGCTTTTTAAAAATTTTTTGTAATTAAAAAGCTTGATAGTCAAAGTCATGAGTGCACAATTACAGAGGAATTTTCATAATGAAACATCATGAGATATTTTGATGGAGAATTTACAAAACATGCATACACACCGTCTTGAATCTCCCCTTTGCACTGAGCCAGATAGATGACCTCTTCCCACGCAGTCGGAAGATGCACATGCTTCCCGGAGCCCAGGGTCTTGAGACCCAGCTTCCTCTGCGATGGAAAAGCAAATGATGAACACAGCAAATGGAAGTGTGTAACCTTTTGTTTGCCTTATCGCGTCTTATTTATACTCTGAAAGGCACTCTTCCACAACAATGTTCTGTGATCAGAGTCCAAGTTTTCTCTTATGGAGAACTTCTCACCAAAAGTATTTGGTTACAAACTTTAAACTTAATTAACACTAATATTTGAGCTCCAGCTACATATTTACCTTTTCTTTCAGCATTATGCAGCAGGTAAGCATTTGCAAACTACAAAGTGAAGTTTACATACGGAGTGGACCAGAGAATCGACCCTTACCTTACACCTGATGAGGAGTTTCCTAGCTTGTTCCAACAATTCTTCCTGCTCTGATGGATTCTCTGTGCAGTTAAATTTCAGAATGAACTCTTTGGTGATGGAAAACGATGGCCTGTACAGAAAAACAATGATGATGGCTATCACCTTCGATTTTTAATTAATCATTTTCTAGTGTCTAAGTGCTAGGAAAAGTTCTTTTTTTTTTTTTTTTTAACTTATAATGTTTCACATACAAACGATCAATAGAATCAAAGATCCCAGAGCAGATCACCCAGACTTCCTGGGAACCAAATCCTCATTTCCAGAGGTGTTTGTCTTGTGGGAAACACTCCTGAAATGGCTGCCAGCAGTCTTCTGGATATTTTCTTCATAGATAAAATTGAACAAAGCTCAAGGCTGGTTTATTTCCCATAAGCCAGTGTCGCTCCCATTTGAGCTAACTCTAGTCCGTCCACGTGGGTTCGTTACAACTGTGACTACAGTGAGATGTCGAGGGAGAAAGATACAAGGAGCAAAGTCAGCTAGAGTGGACACAGTGATGTTGCAGGAGGGCGATGCCATTACAGGGCTTCTGCAAGAAGAGGGGCCAGGCCCCGAGCCTTCACAAGTTTGTTCCCATGACCTGCTGAGAGCTGGGGTAGAGGCAGTGGGGGCATGTGCAGGGACAGCCACACATGTGGTTGGGCAAGTGATGACGGAGCAGACCCGGGCAGTGGCGATACAATGTAGGCAAAGAGAACAGATTGGATGGTGTATGCGCTGTGCATCAATCAGGCTTAAAGAAGGGAGTCGTGATTCAACCGACTCACTGAAAGGACCGAATTGCTACTTACTGACACAAAGTGAGGACAACCGCTAGAGGCACATACTTGGCGGGAGGGCGAAAGGGAGATGGGTGTTGGGCAGGCGCTGAGATGACAGCAGCCAGACAAGCGCAGATGGGAGAGTGAATGTGGGCATACAAGCCTCAACCACAGACTGAATGTCACCAGTGAGACACAGTACATCCAGAATGGAGGAGAGGTAAAGAGCGATTTGGCAGTATGTAGATGAATAGAAACAGGTTAATTTGAGTTATAAGAGCTAGTTGGGGGACAAGCCTAAGCTAAAGGCCAAGCTTTCATGATTAATAATAAGTTTCCGTGTCATTATCTGGGGATTGGTATTAAAGAAAGTCCTGCTACATATCAGTACTTAGCATCATAAGGGAGAAGGGTTTCGTGAGAATTATTCCAAAGATGGTGCCCAGAGGAAGTCAAGAGGGTGAGTCCTGAGATGTTCATAAAAAAGGATGATTGGTTGCCAACATCGAGCCAGATGAGGTCACTGCATGATTGGCTTATGTTCACTAGGTAAAGCATAGAGCGCCTAGGCAAGTGATAGGTTGACCTTTAAAACCACTGGCTCGCTGCAGATTTTTGCTTTAAAAGATGCTTGCTATGGGACAATAAACGAGTTCCTGGTTGACTAGACTCCCTGCTGCATCTGATTGTCTCTGGGATCCTGGGAGGCTGGGGAATGGGAGAGCGGCACCCTTTCCCTTCCTCAGACCCAGCTCAGCCTTCTGTGGTTGGGCTAAGACCCTGCACAAAGCACCAAGCTAAGGTCTAGCTATAAGACCACAGAAAAAGGCTTTGATTTAATATTGATGCAGCTATCTAATATTCTTCCCTGTGGTTTGAGTTTAAGTTTCTCTGTATTATGTATGCATATGTGTGTTACTAACATATGTTACTAATATATTAATTAAATATATATTAAATTAATGTATATAAATTTGCTCAGCGAACATCTGGTGTTTATTTTATATATGCTGATTGAAATGTACAGAATGTACATTGTATTATGGAAAGGAAAAGAGGCTTAAATATCACACTGAAGTGCATATCTTCAAAAGTTTAAAAAAAAAACTATTTATAACAAGCTGCAACTCAGCCAGGCGATGCTGGTACATGCCTTTAATCCCAGCACTCCAGAGACAGAGACAGGTAGTTCAAGGCCAGCATGGTCAACAGAGAGAACTTCAGGACAGCCAGGGCTACACAACAAAATGAAATCTGCCTTGAAAAAAAAATAATAATTATTTAACTAATAATAAATTAACTGAAATAAGTAAGCTGCAATTTAAGATCTTGGAGTTCTTTTGTAGTATCAGTCAGAATCATCTGTTGGAGCTTGCAATGTATGTGTCTTCATAATAAAACAACACTAATGAACTTTAACTTCCTCATAAACTCAGAGGTGCATTTATTTCTAGAGCAAAAGAAATCCATGGGATGAAAATAGAATCCAATTCAAATCCATGTGCTTAGACCATCTTATAAATAATTTCATTTTTGTCAATTATTTTTCAATATAGGTTGTGGTCTATAATGCTCCATTGGGAATATGCAAAGTTAATAATTTCCTACTTTCAGTACAGATATTGAATGCCTTAATTGGTCTCCCATAGACCATGTTAATAAATATTAAACAGGAAAAATACAGCTATATTTCAATCATTTCTTTCCCATTGAGAAAAGAACAAAATAACCCTTATATTAGTCATATAGAATATAAACATAAATATATGATAAGCCAGAGGAGGAATGGGAAAAAAACTAGTACAGGCATTTGAAAAATAAAATATAATTTTGCTTCCTACATTCCAATTCCTTCAAAATATTGAAGGATTTCAGACAGATAACCCAATCTATTCCAGGCCTAAAACGTACAATCTTGTTTAACAGGCAGCCATCAAAGACCATCATTTTAATTTTACATAGAAAGCAAACATACTAAAGTCTCCTGGTTGCACGGATACCTAATCCAAACTGACTGTTTATATCAGCTGCGATTCAGTTCATTCGTAAAAACATAATGAAGACGTTTTGCTAGCTCCAAGGAGAGCTAGGTGAGGGATGAGATCCAGCCTCAGGAAGCTCACAGCCTGAGAAAGGAATGTGGCTCTTTACGTCCTATGACTTCTGTTGCTGCGACGAGACACCATGACCCCGGCAACTCTTGTAAAAGAGAGCATTTAACTGGGGGCTTGTTCACAGTGTCTGAGGGTCCGTGGCTGCCTTAGCAGGGAATGCGGTAACAGGCAGGTAGCCATGGTGCTGGAGAGCTTGCATCCTGAGCCACCGGCACGAGACAGAAAGCTATTGGGCTTTTGAAATCTATAGCACACCCCCAGCGACACAGCTCCTCCAACAAGCCTACATCTAACCCTTCCCAGAATAGTTCTACCAACTAGAGGGACCAAGCATTCAAATCGATGCGCCTACGTGGGCCATTCTCGCTCAAACCACCACTCCTTACAAAGCATTCCACGTAACGGACACACACTAGGGAGGGTGATGAAATGCCATGAGCATGCAATACTCTTTGGTGACTCGGTATAGGTGAGCTGTAATATCCCATCGATTGAATGCGGACAGTGCCTCACAAGGTTTTAAAAAGCAAAAACCCGGAACACATGAACCTGTTTGCTGGCATTAACTCGATGCCAGGTAGCAGTTAGTTATAACATGACTATTTTCCTTCGACGATTCAGGAAAAGCCCAGTACTAGAACCACACACCTGCCCGCAGTAAGACCGGAACTGGAGGACAGCGGAAGAGCGACTTGTCCATTCACAGCCCTTTGGGTTCACACAGGGCACAGGGATTGGGCAGAAACCAATGAAAGCCATGCTAAATCAAGCTAGACTCTAAAAAACTGAACTAAGATGGCGTCATGATTAATTGGGGGGAGGTTGTGGGCTGGGCACGCAGCTGGGCTCAGGAGCTTTACCCTACACGGGAAAAGAACATCATGAGAACTGGACAGAAAGAATGCGCCAGGTTATTTACACTACTCAAGATGCACTTGATTCTTTCTATTTTTGTTTTTGTTCTATATTCATGAGGCAGGAGATGACACCTGCAAGCAACAATCTATCTCTGCATCAGAGATAAAGGTATGACCTTTCAAGTGGAAAATTCCTAAGGGGGGGGGGAGAGGAAAGCCAAGAAGAGATGAATCCAAGAGAGCGAGAAATTAAGTAAAAAGAACAGGAAGGTATCTAGGAGTCCAGAAAGTGGGGTCCAAGGTGTATTTGAATTAACAGGTAATTGTCCATTACTCAGAATGCCTGCTGGACTGGTGGACTGAAGGCCCATATTTGACCCATATGTCATGGCACCCTCTGGCCACTGTTGAGTGGATCTGATACAAGCAGGTTCAACCCAGTCCTTTCTCCGGGAACTGTAAATGATTGGCTCAACATAGATTTGGGTTACCCCAAGTCTCACATTCCAATATGGAATCAGTTTCAAGGAGTCTTTACAGAAGAAAGTCATTAGTCAAGATAAATGTAAAATACATTGGTGGTGCATCACCGGGTACAGGGAGATGGGAGAGATGTTCTCTGAGCTTTGGGGTTGGGGGAAGCTAGTGGTCTGCTGAGTTATTAGATTCCACATTTCTATTAGTCACAGGGTGTTAGTTCTAACACAGAGGTGGGCAAAGAACAGCTGTCCTGAGGCTAGGTCTAGGTTAAGATGACGTAGGTAGCCTTTGGAACTGCAACATTCCAACCTCTCCAGAGAACTGGAATTCTAATCAGTCCATCATATGCGAAGATACAGCTTCGTGTGAGAGGTTTCTGTTCACAACTGATTAGGAAGGATTAAGAGATGTGGCTTGTTGGAGAAGGTGGGGAGAATTTGAGGTTTCAAAATTCCACCTCAGGCCCTCCCACCCCCCCACCCCCCACCCCCCGACTCTCTGCATCTTCTGTTTGTAGATCAGATGTGAGCTCTCAGCTCCTTCTTGAGAACCATGCCTGCCTGCATGCCACCATGCTCCCTGCCATGGTAGCAACAAACTCACACTCTGAAACTGTAAGCAAGCCCACAATTAAATCCTTTGTTGTATAAGTTTCCTGGGTCTGGGTCAGAGAGTCTCTTCACAGCGATAGAAAAGTAACTAAGACAGGCAGTAATGTTCAGACTGTATCTGTCAACTTAATCATGATTCCTTCAATATGTGCTAAGAACACACAGTTAGTACTCAACGAAGAAAACAGGCCTGGCTGTACCTTTCGTGTGGAGTTCCACAAGGCAGCCTTTTATATCATCATCTTCA